ATCACTGTCTATAAACTCCCATCATTAGAGACATAAGGGAATTTTATGTAAGGTAGCCATACAATAAAGATGATTCCACAATCACATACTACTCAGACTTATTTAATTTATAGTCGTTACTTCAGCTATCACACACACTCAAAAGCTGCTTGCAGTTGGAAATGTGTCATCCTGAATAAAGTAGATGCAATCAATGTTACTACTGTCGTGTATGTGCCTATAACACGTCTAAGCAGTGTACGAGGCCTCTTACAAGTTCCAGTGCACTTCAAACCTGTGTTGAAGCCCTTTGTACACATGACTCATCAAGCAAACAGATTTTTGTCAAGTTTTACCTTCTTTAATTTGCATGATAAAAAAACGTAGTACATACTCTCACTTCTGGGTACAATTAATCAAAATAAGAAACTTTCTAATTCCTCCTCCCTCATCACAGAAGTATTCAGGGCCATGTCTTCTGTGATATCAAGTGTCAAATTTTAAGAGAACTTTTGAAATGTAATGAGGTTTTAAAGTAATTAATAAGTGGCTAAGCGATGCCATTTCCCTGAGTGTAACCACCTGAGGGTCATCCAAGTGTTGGCAGACGTTTTTGTCTTTAACTGTTCCAGCTTGCCTTGTGGCTGTGGGCTGGCTTTATTATGTGACCATCAGTGGCTGTCGTATCCTATCAGGAGGCTCAGATGAGTAATAGTCACTCATCTAAGAGACTCATCTAAGACACTCTTTCTCAAACTCTTTCTCCCAGTTGCTCCACTTCACGCCTTGTACTGAAATGCAGGGGCTACAGAATGTGTTGCAGTGAGCACTGGGCTGTAATTTAAAGGCCTTGATTTTAAGCAAGATTCTAAACCATTTGAAATCCAAGATTTCTCATTCCTTAAATGATAGCAGCTAGAAGGTGTTTACCAGATCTCTTAAAGTCCTTCACCTTTTTTTTTTTTCAAAATAGAAATTTTTTTCTGTGTATCATCATTGGGGGAAAAAAGATGCAACAAAAAAATCCATTCTGTGCCTTATTCTTGAGAATCCCATTCTCAAGAGAATCCACAGTCTTGGGGATGGATTCTTCTAATCTTGTTTTCTTTTCTTTTTTCTTTTGGTATCAGGAATGGAACTCAGGACCTTGTGCTTGCCAGGGAGGCAGGGTGCCACTGAGCTAAATCCCAGCCTAGTCCTAACAATCTTTTAGCAGCTGGGTTAGTTAGCTTTCCCATTGCTAGGCCCAAATACTGGACACCATAACTTCCAGATGAAGAGAGATTTAATTTGGCTCACAGTTTCAGAGAGTTCAGCCCATAATTGGGTGGTTCATCGGAGCCAGGAATAGCACCAAAGAGGAAGGAGTCAGGGAACAGATACAGTATCTAAGGTTACACCTCGGAGACCCACCCAGATAGCCCAGAAGTATGCTTTACTAACCCCCTAGGTGGCTCCCGAGCCAATGAGGTTGACCTGTCACATGTACATATGACATCAAGAGATTATCTTTTATATTAATGTCATCACATTTTGTCTTATTTTCTCTGATATGGACTCATTATTTAAATATGTCAATAATGCAGATAGAGATACAACAGATCATGAAAGTCTCGCATAATCCTACCTTCCTTACCAAAGATAACTATTGTTAAGGAAGCATCTGAAATGCTGGCATTTTATGAATTGAAAGTATGAATTGAAAATCATAAATTTAATAAAAATGAGAGTATAAAGCATCACATTAGAGATACTGTTATTTTGATCTGGTGGTGTAAAGCAACTCATGGGACACAAGTCTGGACATCTGAGTGGTGTGGGTCGAGGTGGAATGAGGTGCGTATCTGCAGAGGAGAGACATCTGGGCCTCTGTGGGCCTTTGGACCTGGAATCTTCGACCAAGGGAGGCGTAGGTACACAAGGGAGTAAGGAGAACCAACAGCAAACTCACCCTCTGCATTTGGAGTACTATCATCACTTTCAGAGAATTCCATTTTGTTCTCATTTTTATTTCCGATTTCATCTTTGTTTTCTTTTTGGTTTGCTCTTCATTGTGACCTCCCTGAAGAAAGGCTTCCTGTCCATATTTTAAGACTTTATATTGAAGAATTTAAAGGTTTTAGCACCAGAAACCTGGATTTTTTTGGTTTAAAAATATTATATTAGTACATGTTTGCAGTAAATGCAGTTACATTCATTGCAGAGAATCAGTCCATGTACATAACACATATGAATTCTTTTTTTCCCAGCCCCCTTTTATTTTGTTGGCATCAGATGCATTTATTTATTTGTTCTTATAATATCATAAAATTAATTATCATATATAAAGATTGAGAACTGGATTAATAGGCTAAAGAACATATAAAACATACAAGATAATTATAATAGATACATTGTCCACACTTGATTGACCTTCTTGGTGTGTCAACCACATAGAAGTATTTACATGTTTATTAATGTTGTAAATATAAGTGGTAAGAAATATAAGAAAGTCAGCATTAGATAAATGCGTTTATACTATAATATCAATATTTATGAAATTCATGAATAAAATAGCTCTTTAAATGTTTTTAGTGGTTATTCCTGGGATTTACAGGATCGATATGCTCAAGACAAGTCAGTTGTCAATAAGATGCAACAGAAGTATTGGGAAACCAAGCAGGCCTTCATTAAAGCCACGGGGAAGAAGGAAGATGAACATGTTGTTGCCTCTGATGCAGACCTGGATGCCAAGCTAGAGGTGAGCTTACCACTCTCCATACCTTGCTGGAACAGCGCACCTGGGCAGGCCTAGGTGTGCCGTGTATTTGAAAATGGGGAGTATGTAGCATCAATCCCAGCACATTCACAAATTCTGTGTGACCACTACCATGTGTGGGTTAATTTGTTCAAGCACATAGTTGGAATGTGTGGCCTATGGTAAATTTCTAATAAATTTTGACTAAAATGAATGCAATCAAAGAGCTGCTACTAGTGATATCTGAGAGATCAGAATTGGAAGGTAGACCAGACCTAGACAGAACTTCCTAATGTTTAGATTGCCCAATGAGAGATGGACTCACTTTTGTAGTATCAATGCCCTGTCCAATGAATCTGGGCTACTCTTTCACCTACTGGTCGCTGTAACCTTGGGAGAACTATCCAATTTCTCTTATTCTCGTTTTCTTAGAGCATGACATGGAGATAGGAATGATTATTATGACTACAGTGAGTGCTAAATTACATAACTAGAGTGGTGGCTAATGTTCTTGAGTACTTATATCCCAGGGACTGTTCAGCATGACTTCTGTGCATTATCTCATACCTGGCAAAGCTCCTGATGTACCCGGTTCCTGCTTCCCTACCCTAGGTTTCTTCCCACAGCACTTAACCCTACCCTCACTATCTGCAGCCAGAATGACTCATTCTCAGTTCTGAAGCTACAAGGCAAGTTCACTCATATCAGAGCTTTTCCTGTGGTCTGACTGGGCACTCTTTCTCCAGATCTTCCTTTAACCAGCTCCTTCTCATAGTTCAAGTCCCAGTCTAATGGTACCCTAAAGAAGCCTTACCTCACTATTCTGTTTAAAATCACATTATTTACCCCCTATGCTCCACCGACATCACCCCATTCACTGATGCACAAGCTTGTCTTATTTTGCTCAGCATTTTCTTCTCTGGTTAAATTGTCTTAGGTGTTGGTTTGTTTGCCTGTCTTCTCTCCACCAAAAGGTCAAATTCCATGTTAGCCTTAATCACCACTATGTCCCCAGCCAGTACACATTCAGCAGGTACTAAGTAAATAAGTACACATGTTCATGCAATTACTATTAGTTCTCAGCTCTTTCTTTCCTTCTGTAATTGGAAGTTTTGAAATAGAATCTGAATTGGACGAGAATGTTCTACAGGTAGACTCAAGAAGCATCTGTACTGATCTTCACACTTGAATGGTGGTTTAAATCATTGCTAAGTGAGCCGAGTATGGTGTTGTGTCTGTAATCACAAGACTTGGTGGGCTGACACTGGAGGATCTCAAGTTCAAGTCCTACCTGACTTACCTAGCAAGACCCTGTGCCAACAGTTGAATGAATGAATGGATGATTTAATAAATTAATGAATGAATGGGCTGGGGATATAGCTCAGTGTGAAGGTCCTGGGTTCGATTCCTAATACCTTCCCTACAAATTAACGTAAGTTCTCTATGTTTTTATATCTTATAGCTTTTTTATTTTTTATAAACCAGTAAAGGCAAGCATTAGTCTAAAAGTAATTTAATATGCCACTTACTATTAAGCTAAACATTATATTTGCATATAGGCTTATGCAGCAGGACTTTTATCGAACCAACCACACCCTAACCCAGATAGCTGCTGTCCTAGACACATGGCGCCCAAAGTACTTACTTGTGACTAATAATTTTACCCACGAGAGGGGTTTCTGTTGCAGAAATGTTAATATTGATGTTGAAATTCATAGCACTGATTTCATCAATAAAACATGAAAATGATATGCAAACCATATGATATGATTTTATACTTAGTTATTCTTATGGAAGGCTAACTTGCACACCGAAACCTTTTACTGTGCTGGCCCAGAAGATGGTGTGCCATGCTTTAATAGTGGTCAGATTGTTCTCTTGCCACCCATTGGGAAGTTGATATAGAAATGTTGTACTGATTGCCAGATATGGTAGTACGTGTTTATAATCACATCACTCTGGGAGACTGAGACAAGAGGATTGCAAGTTTGACCTCCTGGGCCACTTAGTGACTTAGTGAGAACTTATCTCAAAATAAAAAAATTTTTAAAAAGGCATTAGTGATATAGCTCGGTTTAATCTGTACTACCACAAAGATAAAAAGTGCTAACTTTAGTATTTGTCCACATTACTTGTTAATCAGGTCTTTTTTTTTTTTTCAAAAACATCTCCTTGGTTCAAGAACAGAAACCCATCAATGGAGAGGAAAGTCTGAATGGCCTCCAGGGCCGAGTAGACTGTCTTGATGATAAGAAATGCTTCTTATCTCGCTCTGGGTGTGGTTATGTAAGTGTCTACAACCATCATAACTTACAGAACTCAACGCTCTAGAGCTGTGCATTGTATTGCATTTAACATCATTTTTTAGAAGTGAAACATAATAGTAGAAAAGCTTCTTTCTCCTATACTCAAGAATTAGAATCAGAACCTCCTGGTAGTCTGTGACTCAAAAGACTCATTTTCTAGGAACAGATTCAGATTGCTGATTTTTGTTTTGTTTTGTAGTAAAGGGTATTTGTTTTCTTATCTAAATAGATCAGGGATGCAATTTAATAAATTAGTAAATTTATATTCTTCATGACCAAGTTTTATTATATTAAGTGTTCTTAGCATTGGTTTGTCATTTTTTAAGTATAGACGCATGCACCCACTTTTATTAGATAATTCAGTCATGTTGATAATGAAGTAGATCATCTGTTTTCACTCAAATACTGAAGTGCTTTATGATACAGTGGCATAATTTCTTCATCCATGTGGCCAGTAAACCGGAGGGAGAGGAAAAAGGAAAATCTTGCTCTGCCTCACTGAGCGGCTCTGCAGAGACAACGTGTTCACCTGCTAGGTTTTCTTGTTGGTATCAGCCCGTGTCTCTGAGTCTGTGGACAGAGGATAGATAAAGTATGGAGTCTATTATGTTAGCTTTTCACCATTATGACAAGTACCTGAGGTAAATCAAGACGTAAAAGGAAAAGGTTTATCTTGGCTTACAATATGAGAGGTTGAAGTTTATAGTCACTTGGCCCTGCTGCTTTGGGGCCCGTGAAGAAGCAGTGCATCGTGGGAAGTGGACAGCAGAGGAAACATGCTCGCCTGTGCGGACTAGGAAGCAAAGAGAGAGAGGAAGGAGCAGTGATCCAATGTCCTCTTCAAGGGCACCTTCCAAGACCTAACTTCCTTCCACTAGGCCCCACCCCCTAAAAGTTCCACCATCTTCCAATGGCACCAGAGGCTGGCACCTGTGAGTCTTTGACCTGTGGGTCTTCAGAGAATATTTACTATTTAAACCATAGCATCCGCCCTATCTTTATTAAGCTGTCTTGGTTTATTAAGCAAAGAGTGAGACCACCATGAGTTAAAATCTGGTTAAATTCTCTTCAGTAGAGTCCCACCTGCCATTATATAGCTTTATGTTTTTGTCTCTGTATATTTTATGAAATCATTAGGAAAATAAATAGTGATGTTTCCTTCTAGCTAAGCACCATTGTACCAGATGTCTTCCAAACAGACAGAGCATTCAGCTGATTGATTTTTGTTTGCTTTATTCAGTTGTTTAAGCATGCCATAAAATACGTTAGTATCACAAAGTAAGTTAATGTCATCTTTTAAATATGTTTGTTTGACAGGTCCTCCATTAAAAAAAAAGACAGCAAGTGGTGAAGGGAATAAATTAGGTTAGGAATGAAGGTCAGACCTCTGCTTTACCAGGCCCTCTAATTGGGCCCTTCACTAGGTCTTCTGTTTCTCAGCTCTTATTTCAGTAGTCTGGAAGAAGCAGTTGTTCTAGGTATTTTAACTTAGATTGCAGAGATGGTGAATTCCAATCAGAAACAAAGGAGGATATTTAAATTGACTGGTCACAGTCTTTATATAGTTCATCACATAACACCAACGCACTTAAATACATGATCTTGTTTTTAGTGGACAAATAAAATGCTATGGTTTTGTTTAGTGTGATTTTTTTTTTAATTTTGCTACTGTATGTTTTATTTAGTGTTTTGTTTGTATTTTTATTACAGCTGTTTCACTCGATCCAGAGAACCTGTTTGGATTTGTCTAAAGCAATTGTACTTTATCAAAAGAGGATATGTTGTAAGTATGCCATAAGTATGAATATTGATCAAATATAGAGTTAAAGAAGAGCAAGATATTTTGCCTTACTATATCATTTAATATATTAGGAAACTATTTAGGGGAGTTTTTCTTTAAGCCAGGAGGAAGGTCTCTAAAAATGTTACTGCTAATTTGTTTACCTTTCAAAACAAGTCATGCTTTAGGAGAATGTTACATTGGCTCTCCCATAGATATAAACATACCATTTACTTTCCTAGTTGTAAAAATATTTTCTCAGATTTTTGCCTGAAACCTTTTAATGCAGAGTTCTGGTTGGCTTACATCCAATTTTGTTCCTTTTAAACTAGTCAAGTGTTATATACATGTACCAAATCCACACATCCAATTATGTATGAACATTACAATTATGTTTATTACAGTCATGTATGAACATGTATTAACAGTGAACATCATGTATGGCAAACATGTACAAACAAAAAGGAAGGGTGCCTTGGTTACTTTTCTCATTGCTGAGACAAAATACTGGACACCCAAAGTCAAAGGAGGAGAGATTTGGTTTACAGTTTGTAGAGGTTTCAGTCCATAGTTGACTGGCTTCAAGGCAGGGTGGTACATGGCAGAGGGGCCATCACAAGGGAGAAACACTTTGTGGCAACCAGAGGGTAGCAAAAGCAATGAGGGAATTTTACATGTGTCTTTCTGTTCCTTCTATCTTATCCAGACTACAGGGATTAGGGTGGTGTCAAACCAATTCGTAGACTGGTTTAGTAATTGCACACTCTTAATCCCAGCATCCTTGAGCCTAGCATTGGACCATGAATCAATTCCAGCATCACACACATTCTAGATCCGCCACCTCGTGTCTGTGTGAGGCTTTGGGGGACATCTAAATAGGAGCCATAACAAAGGGGATCAAGAGATGAATAGCGGGGAAGAGATGAAAAAGGGGATGAAAACGTGTTATGTACATGCACGTATTCTCTCAAGCAATGTAAATATTATCTACTACACATATTTACTAGTCAACTAAATTGATTTTTAAAAAAAGGAACATGGTCAGGTGAAGAAAGAAGACACATAGTTAATTCATTGATGAAACTTTCTCAAGAAAATTTCTTTCAGTAGACATTGGGTTACCAGGGAACAAGAGCTTCATATGATCCTCTTAAAAGTACTACTGACAAAGTATTTCCGAATTACTAAATATCAAGTTAGATGTTGATATGTTTCAAAAGTTCCATTTGGAGGTTATAACACTAGAATATGGGAAATCTTTCTATTACTGGATGCTATGAAATCTCTTTCCCAAGTCACAAGTTAACATTTGGTCATTTTTCTAAATTAGTAATATTTTTTGTTTTGTTTTGTTTTGTTTTGTTTTTTGGTACCAGGGATTGAACTCTTGACCTTGCGCTTGCAAAGCAGGCAGCAGAACCACTGAGCTAAATCCCCGGCAGTAATATTTTTATTCAGATAAACATTTGAGGAAAATCCCAAATCATAGGACTTAAAGGCAGAGCCTTGTGAGTTGCCTATGTTAATATTTACCAAGTGTTTGGGCTAAGATGTCTCTGCAGCTGTAACTCCAGGATCTGTGAGGGAGTCGAGACACGTGACACACATCCCCCAGCATTTCCTGTCTATCTAGTCAGCCTTCAATACAGTCTGCTTTTCCTCCTGAACAGCTTTCAGCTTCCCTTCTCACGCCAGCCCCCTTGCACCACACGAGTTCAGGCCCTGCTCTCACTCTCCTCGGGCTGCTAACTCAGCTCCCTTACTGGTCATCCTGTTCTCTCTTCCTCAGCCTCCTCAAGTCCATTGTCAGCACTGCCATCAGAGCATACTTTTTTTTTTCTCATGGAGTTTATTGGTACATTTAGGTATACAATACAGTTCCATTCATCATTGGTCTCTTGTACCTTTACATGACAGGTCTTGCTTCTCCTTTTTTACCCTTACCCCTCCCTCCCCTCACCTCCTCCTCCCTTCCCTCTTCAGAGTATACTTTTGAACCTGATCATATCACACCTTTGCTTAAACACTTTGGGGAATTATTGGTCCAATTCTCTTTTACTATACTCACTGCACTACTAATAATAAATCATTTTTTCCTTTATGGTAGAAGACAAAAAGATATTTATAAGATTGGGACTGTTACTTGTTAAGTCATCATATGAAGTCCATTGTGCCCTGTTTTTATTAAATAAATGATATAAGTAAAAAGGAAATAAAAGATGGAGGCCTGCATATTTTTTGTAATGATTCTCTGAAGAGAAATGATGCTTACCATTTATTGTAATGTCTCAAATACAAAACCCAGAAAGACCTTACCCCTGAATCACCTCAGATTAGTTGATAGAGATATGATTGAACGCACTCGAAGCTCATGATCATCTTGGGGTTACATGGGGTTACACGTATCGGCCTAGTCACCCGGTTGGGCCAGCAGATTTAGCTTTGGTTGTGGGTAAGCCCTGCTGTGCCACTCAGAAGCTCACGTGAGCCATGCATTGTGGGGCAGTGGGGGAGGGGGGAGTTCTACACTGCGTAGACTGAACAGGATCCCAACTTTGATAGAGAACTAAAAATAGTATAGTTAAATGAAATGAGAGGGTTGCAGTGCAGCTGTTAGAGAAAATAAATGAGGGAAACTTCTATGCAGGGAAAGGAAGTGATTTCGAGGATACAGTCGTTAAGTGAAAGAAACCAAGCACATCAGTAGCATGTTGCCTTTCCAGCCCAAGGCGCATGGGAAAGAGTGAGAATAAACTAAGACATGAATGCAAAAACAGAAGGGGATATACACACACAGAAATACGTGCAGCCCACTCATTTACGTGCTAAAGAAATTCCGAAAAGAGAGCCAGAAGCTAAGATGACTGGATGTCAGTGGGATTGGACACAGAGCCTGTGCAGGAGTGTGGGAGAGGGGGAGAGGGAGGAATAGGGTGAGGTAGGGGGGAAGCAGGGAGCTGTATCTCACTGAACTCCTCAGATCGCTCTGACTCCTCAAACCGTAGTTGTGTTCCATGTACTCCCAAAAAATACTGAACACCACCTGGGACACAGACACAGGAGAGTCGGAAATGGAGTACAAACAGCGACAAATGGCCTAAACTGCAATACAAATAAATAACATCCCCACATCCACCAGAGAGGGGATGAACTAACCTTCATAATTTTTAAAAGCCAGAGTTTTAACTGGATAGTAAGCTGAAGCATGAAAAGAAATATGTATGAAAAACTGTGCTTTAGCTATTATATTTATTTCTTATGGGTTAAAGTTAGAAATTCTGAAACTACTTTATGTGTATACTGAGGGCAAAACCAATCAGGAAATAAACATTATAGGTAATGGGAACTTGGGTTCCCATTGTCTATAGTAGGAAAAAGTACAAGGAAAAGGAAAAGGTTAGACGGAACACTGTGATGTGGTACTGGACTGGTTGTTTATATAGAGAAACGTGGCTATACACAGATATATTTAGAAATAAATACAGATGAGTACATGTGCATGGCCAAGTGTACCTTCAGATATTTCCTGCCTCTGTCAGCTGAGACCGCCTAGAAGTACCAACTCCCCATATCAGTGAGCACACCTAGCACTCAGATTTGTTTCTAAATAGATTTGTTTCCCCACTCCTTGGAGAAGTGATTAATCTCAGGGCTGGAGCAGAGAGAATTCAAGATAAGACTGGAATATCTTCTAATGACAGAACATAAGGACATGCTTAAAAATGACCAGGGTGTGTTGAAAGGAGACAAAAGCAAGCTTGTGGCCAAAGCTGGTACAATTTGAGCAATAAAATAAATAATCGTAATATTGAATTGTAGCCCATAGAAAAAATTGCCCATTAAGTCTGTATAGAAATAGTGGATGGATGGGTAGGTGGGTGGCTGGCTGGCTGGCTGGATGCCTAGATAGAAGGGTAGGCTGGTAACAGGGACAGCTGTTTCTTACGAAATAATTCCAATTAATAGTTATATAAAAAAGAGAGAACCACAAAATCCCCATTAAGCAAAGACCACACTAAGACTCATGGCAGGTCAGAGTCACTGAAGAGTAGCACAGCTAGTGAGTGAAAATTTGAAGAGAAACTGGATATTTGCCAAGCCTCATGTATTCCCCCTTTAAGATTGTTAATAATTACAGAAGGAAAACACTGCACCTGATAGTAGAGACACCCAGCAAATCCCACCTTAAACAAGTGATAGAGGTCAATATGTTTGGAAATAATCCACAGTGCTGATATAATGTATTCCTTGATGCCATACTCTGGGAATTACACTTCCCCCCTGTGGTGACCTTCTTCCAAATCCATTATCCCATGCTAATCATGGTAAACCAGACAAACCCAAACCAAGGAGCAGCCTATAAAATATTGCTAGAAAGCTGAACTGTAAGAAAGGGTGTCAGAGTCTGAAAGACAGGAAAGATGAGAGCACTGTCACAAATTGAAGGAATCTGGGGAGGCTCAGGACGTCAGTGTGACACGGGATTCTAGACTAGATCCTCTGAAAAGAAAGGACTTTCCTGGGGAAAGCTGGTAAAAATTCAAATGGGGTCTGTAGTTCAGTTGTTGGGATTACATAGTGTTAATGTCCTCATTTTGATCATTGCTCTGTGATTAACATAAGATGGAAATATTAGGGGGAGTTGGGGAAAGATACATAGGAAAAGGTACTGTTTGTACCTTTTCTGTAAGTCTGATATTATTTCAAAATAAGAGTTTTAATAAAAGTGTAACTTGGATCATACTGCTCTTGTTTTTAAAAGCCTCTAATAGAAGTTAAAGTAGAATCCAAACTTCAATACCATAGCTTATAAATAAGGCAGCTTATACATCTTCTAGCCACAGTCTCCAGTCCCCATTTCCTTTACCTAAAGTTATCTGAGGCCTTTTGTACATACTGTGCTTGCCCTAATAGTATCGGGAATGGTCCCTTCTTGTCATTCAGAATGTGGTTTATTAGTCATTTGCTCTGAATACCTTCCCTGGTCACTCAGCCTGAGGCTGCTCCTGGTAACTCTGTCATTCTCACTGTTCTGTCTGGTACTTTTCTTTTGTGTGCTTTGTATTTGTGTTTAGGTGTGTTTTATTCTTTATTACCTGCCACTTAAATGTAAGCTCTCTTAAGAGCAGGGACCTCCTGTGTCTCATTCATCACTTTATTCCCCGTGGCAGGAGAGTGGCAGGAGAGTGTCTAGTATATATTAGATCCATAAATCTGGGTTGAGTGAGTTAATGCTGCCAAGCTAATTAGTTTCATAGTTATTTAGTTGCTTTTTAAAAAGCACATCTGAATTTTTAAGTGCTGATTAATTGACATCTTTGTATAAGTAGAAATGTCTGAGTTATCAGATACATGTATTCCACCTGAATTTTAAGTTTCTGCACATATAATTTCGATATCTGAATTTGTTAACGAAAGACCATCTCTTCTCAGAGCTCGGCTGATGGAGCTTGAGCCTTTCCCACCGTGTTCTCAGACGCATTTGCCAATTGGTGAGCCAGTGCTTCAAATGAAAACTGCTTACCACCCAAATTTAATCCTCAAATACATAAAATAATCCAAAATTATTTTAAATGTTTCAGCCTACTTAGGTTCATTTAGGAAAGAGTACATTTTACCATGCGTATAATCATTCAGAAACCAGGAATTGGTTTCTTCCTGGACCTAAGATAAATGTGTTCATTTGTATGTGACTGGAGGCTTCAAGGTTAAAAAAAAAAAAAAAAGTAACAGTAACCTCAAACTATTAGGAGAAAAATGGAAAATTGCTTTCTGTAGGGAAAGATTCACTGTGGGATTCAGTGAGTCACATGCCAGTTGGTGAATAAAAGAAAGAGAAGTATAATAGTATCGAAGCAGAAATGTGAATAAGGGTATTAGTAAATGCCGAATAATGATAGTGAATGCAGTGGCAGTGTTTAGAGAAAAAGCTTCCTCAGAGTCTCAGTGTCACCTCTGTCTTTGTGGCTGCATTATTGGTGTGTGTTTGGGACTGGACTCTCTCCTTGTGCTGTTATGTGTGTCCTTTAAATTTTACTAAATGAGTCTCTAGACTAGAGAAAGTGCCTCATATTATAAATATGACACTGATTGAAGTGTACTCATTTCGCTGCTTACCTAGATTGTACTCCTAACCGTACAGAAAGACACAAACAGTTCTATGACTTTTTACATTTGCTGCCTATTAACCTGTAGAAAGCTTTCACCAAATCACTGTCTCCCCGATAGTCCCATCTGAGATTGTCTTTAAGAAAAGAAGGCCACGATTAGGCATAACCAATTTAGATTGGGTTCTAGCTCTGTATTTCAAAAATCTACCAAGTGGTTGAACTAATGACCCACGCACCCTCTCTTCCCACCCCCACCTCCACCCAAAAACCTGTCTCATGGGTGAGGTGTTTGAGTTGCTTTATAGTGTAGCAGAGAGTAACTCAGAAAGCAGAGATGAAAAAGTCAGCAGGGGAGAATAATAGGAGGCAGCCAGCACTGCATTATAGGCAGCCACAAAAGATTCCCACAGTCGCACTTGACAAACCCAACTCCTTTATTTCAGCTCGAAGCAGCACATTATGGGCTTGCTTTTCAGTACAGAGGTCATTTTCTGGTTCTGATTACAGGGCACCAAACTCACTGATAGATGTATTCAAGTGAATTTGATCTCGGGTATTGTAAATGGAAGAACAGCATGCGAGTTAAATGGCAGGATGGGGCAGGTGGGGAGCCTGCACTTGCAGCCTGCCACTTGGGTTTCATTGGAAATGGTCTTTGCCTCTGGAGGAGAAGGGGACCTTATGATTTTTCTCTCCCATTTTCTTTGTAATAAAAATGCTCATTGTTCACAGTTCCTTCCCCTCTTTTCCTCATCAGTCTTGTCTCAAGAAGAAAATGAACTGGGAAAATTTCTCCGATCCCCAGCCTTCCAAGATAAAACGAGAGCAGGAAAAATGATGCAAGCCACAGGAAAGGCACTCTGCTTTTCTTCCCAACAAAGGTGTGTGGCCTTCATTGGGGCTTTGTTTTGGGGGATGAAGAGAATCTGGGACCGGCTAAGAAAGGGAACTTCACAGTCTGTAGAAGGCTTTTGCTTGAGACTGAAGAGCTACTCAGTTGTTAGTTATTTCTGTTTAACTCTCTGATTAAGATAACACATAGAATTCCTTTTTCATCTCTGTCCATTTAAAACATATTCTTTTCAGGTCTGTGGGGGCATAATATACACCAATCACTGTGAGTGCTGCCTGGATTTCTATTTAACCTTCAGTGTTGCTTGTAGATTGGTTTTTCTTCCAGCAGCTGATGAAAGCAGTAGTCTAATGAGACTAGTTTGAAGGGGGTCCTCTGTGATCTCTGTGGTCCAATTAACTGCAGAGAGGAGTTGTTCAGGATGCTCTGGACCACACTGCCCATGGGCCAGCAGCATCGCCTGGGAACCTGTTAGAAACGCAAAATCCAGGCCATACCACAGGTCTACATTTTACAAAATCCCCTGTTCATTTTGAGGTACTTTCAAATTTAAGAAACTGGTACAGAATAAATTTTGGCAGATCAGTAGCATTAACACAACCAAGTCTCATTTTTATGTGAGCCCCTCACACAACTACTCTTTGCGCTTCAGAAAGGGGACGTTTTACTCTGTTCTCCTGCCCAATAACTCAAAAGCCCACCCCCAAATATTACATGCTAGTGTTCAGCAGAACTGTATCTAAATAAAGCTTGTAGGTAGTTTTCAAAATTACTTAGGTTACAGAAATTTCACTTACTTAAATTGTCCGGCATGTTTTTCTCATTAATTTTTCCTTTGTGTTTTCCCTTCCTGTGGGCCAAGAGAGGCCATTGGCATGTTATGCGGGTATTCCTATGAAAACCCAACTAAAGTAGAGGAGGAAGGAAGAATCTAGCAGGTCAAGTTTTCAATGATCAATTCCCTGGGCGTGCTGATTCTTCTTAATGACATGTGTATCCTGACTGTGTGTACAATGCCAGCTGTAATAGTTGAATGGAACCATTTCCAATATTTACTAATACCAGCTTCCCAAGAAAGTGTTTGTTTAAAATCTTGAATTGTACTTTTTGTACTTATTTATAACAGATTTTTTTCCTCATACAAAAAGACATAAATTTTAAAAATTTAACAGAGACAAAGCAAAAGAAGAAAATTAAAAAGCAACTAAAATTGTACTAACAGAGGTAGACCTACTTTTAAACCCTTGATTCTTTCCATGTATATACAGCCTTCTTCCTTATAAGGAAAATTGATTCCTTAAAAAAATCCTTGATAGGATTTTTATATTATATTATCTCATACAAAAAGACATAAATTTTAAAAATTTAACAGAGACAAAGCAAAAGAAGAAAATTAAAAAGCAACTAAAATTGTACTAACAGAGGTAGACCTACTTTTAAACCCTTGATTCTTTCCATGTATATACAGCCTTCTTCCTTATAAGGAAAATTGATTCCTTAAAAAAATCCTTGATAGGATTTTTATATTATATTATATATTTTAATCTGTGTATGAAAATTAACATGTATTTATGGAAAACAAAACCAAACCCCAGAATACTATCAGGGTTACTATTGCTGATCATATTGTTCAGTATTCTATAATGTGGTCCAGTTATACCCTTTCATGATCTCAAAAAGTATAAAATAGTACCTTAAGTTTATATAATTTAACCTTAGGATATAAACAAAAACAGTAAAAGAAATCAACAAAAAATTATTTTTTAATGTATGAGTACTATAAATTAGCAAACTGCATTCTATCTGTAAATGAATGAGGTGTGGCCAACTTTGCAGTTTAGAGTGTGGCCTCCTGCAAGGTGGCTCTGGTTTCATGATCTTCAGCTGCCTGCCAGGCACTTGAAATCCCAACTAGCTCTTCTAATCATGCAGAAAGTTGAAGATCTAAATGAACTGTTGTGAACTTGCATTCTTAGTCCACAACGAACAAGATTTAAGGTATACTAAAGAGGATTTTAAACATAAATAGTATCATAACCTTCAGTGTCTGTGTTGTATTATATACAGATTATTTAGCAAATTGAAATTTTAAATGAAATAATGCTAATAATGTCTTTTTAATTTCAATTTATACATTTTTAAATATCCATGGAATAATATTCCGTGATCTGGACACATTTAACCCTTCAGTTCATTTCTTGGTTTATTGCAACCTTTTCCTACTACGGGATAAACATAATTGGATTAAATCTTTAGGTACTTTGTTAACTAGTCTCATTGCATGAGTTTTCATGACTAAAAATGTGGGTCAGTCTTGCACTGAAGATTGATATTTTCAGTTATTGAGTTTTTTCTTGGATTTTCATATCACAAATGAATGGGTTTTTACCTTTCTGATCTTATAGGAAGCGAGTTACAAGGGAAAAAAGGATTTGTAAGTCTTTTTTTTTTTCCTGTCATCATGTTATTGCAATTTCAAAGGTTCCTGACTGATTTTATAACAGTACAAGAGACTAAGAATAGTTTACTCACAGGACTCTTTTTCAGCCAGTTTAGGAAAATAGGCAAAATTCAAGGGAAGAGAAAAAGGATACCAGAAATAAATGGGCTCGTTAGAGAGATATTCAAGGACAGCTTATCTCTTTAAATAGATATCTTCAGTTATACAGATCTTAATGCCAATATTTGTTTAACTGACTTACTCACTGGTCATTGCTACATTTGCCCATTCTGCTTGATGAAGGGTGAGTATAAAAATTAAACAGCATAAAATGCAAGTTTATGATGCAAAAAATATTTCTGTGAGAAAACCTCTAGCATCTGCAAGACAATGTGGACAAGCAGTTTTTATAGAAATGCTCACTATTTACCACAATAAAGACAACAGAGAAAAGAGTAAAAGGAGTAATTGTTCCTGAACAGTTCACTGGGCCACTCAGTCTCTCAGTGCTATACCCGAAAGGCGCCCCAGACATTGATGGACCTACCAGAGCTGACTTCAGCTCCCTGGCACCATGGCCCCCCTCAGCTAAGTAAGTTTGCATTGAAATTAAAATGTAAATGTTCATCTTGTTTTCATATTTTACTATGCCTCGAAACCTCATGGAAAAGAATATATTTATTTTAAAAGTATAATTCATCTGGCATGGCTCATTTTTGGGTAGGGTTATGGAAGAAGCAGTACTTTCTACCCAAAATAAATCTTTTTCCTAGAGTTTGAGGTGCTTCAAACTTTTTTCCTGAATGAGTTATTGCATATTATGGCTGACATTATAATTTTACATGTGTACAGTGTACATTCATTTATGTTTATTTTGTTCTTTTTTATAAAGATTAAATGAATATAACCTGCTTGAAAATGGTAATGCCCAATAGACCCTCAGGAAATGTGGTTATTCCCTTCCGAAACCATTTTAAAATATTTGAGTTCATGCTTTGTTCCTCTTGACCGCAGTAGAAAGCAGCAGATGCCCAGGCCTTTAAAATCCATCAAAATGCCATGTAAGAGAGACCCTAATCCCACACACTGCCATCCTCGTTTAAGGCTAAGCTTCAGGGGAGCAGGAGGTGGGAAGGGCAGAAATGAAACTGGGCTTGCCCCTCATGAAAGCAGGATTGGCTCCCAGTTCAGATGAACACTGCACAGGCTTGAGGCCACCTCGAACAACTGATGGAGGTGCCTTCAGATGGTCCAGTTGAGCAGCAGTAGACTCAAGGATGAGAACATGGGTGGTCATCTCTGGTTCACTCATCACTTCCTACACATCTTAAGTTATTATTCATCAGATCTCGATGGGGCATCTTTTATGTTGTAGTCACTGTTCTATGTTCGTGCATTTAGGATGTCAGAGATTCGACCTGAACTGCTGAATGGCTTGGTTTTGAGATTGTGGCTTGGTCTCCTTGTCCAGGTTGTCCTTGCGCAATCCTTTGTGTCGATTTCACCAAGAAGTGGAGACTTTTCGGCATCGGGCCATCTCAGACACGTGGCTGACCGTGAACCGCATGGAGCAGTGCCGGACAGAATACAGAGGGGCGTTGTTATGGATGAAGGATGTGTCTCAGGAGCTCGATCCAGACCTCTACAAGCAAATGGAGAAGTTTAGAAAGGTAGGGGTTTATGTCGAGTATCAAAAGGGTACCTGCTGGAAAGTAATGAGGTGTGATTTGAATCCCTCTGGTGGAGAAGACATAACTCAGAGGCACCAAGGATGCAATTAATCATCACTGACATCTTCTTGTGTGAAAGAATACCAATTAATGTGATATATAATTCTCCAAGGATAATATAGGAGAGACAGCTGGAAATTGCTGAGATTTAGTAACTGGTTTTAATTGAAGTCGAGTTTTCATATAATGTGCACTTACTGTAAGGTTGTCACTTTTAAATGCCTTTTCATGTATAACTAAAAATCAAGAACAGATCAGATGAATCTGGGAAGTGAGACCAGACTACCAGGGAAGTCTCCTGAATCGCCAATGCATATTAGAACTAATAAAACAATATTTCTTTGTTTTGTGAGATGTTCTGAAGCAGTGGGGTTTAGCTATAGGATTAGCTGACAAGGGTATTGACTTTATCAAGCTTTTCAGAAATTTCTCTGAGGGGAAAAAAGTAGCCAATATCTTCTTAAATTTCTTTGAAATAACCAGTGGGTAGCAGAAAGATAATCTTCCTTTCATTTTTAAATTACTGTGTGTCAGTGTAGTCCTTGGGAGATTTTGTCACATGAGGAGGCATCCTGCCACTGGGTGGCAGTCATGCACTGAGTTTTTATGAAAACGAAGCTTGATTTTTGTTGTGTTCCGTCTTGGTAGTTCTTTGTTTGGTCAACTGGGTATATTTCAGGGTGGGGGGGGGAGAATCAGCCAAATGTTACACTTGACATAAAACTGTGTCAACTGTTACTCATTTCAAATGATCCATTCGTAGAGATGTTTCTTAAAACCTCTGCATAACCTTTTAAGAACATCATTGCAGAGCTATGAATAGGAAACTGCTGGTTCATGGGAGGGTAGAGGTGTAGGGGTGAAGAGAAGGAGGAACCTTCTGTTGCTAAGAGAATGGTTACCAATTCTTGTTAGTTATTAGATTGATACAAATTCCTCTAGAAGTCAATTTTGCTTTTGGTTTGTTTAGGATCCCTCTCTATGAAGGGAATCTATACAATAATATCCAGTGGGGTTTTTTTTTTTCCAGATAGTAGATATCTTTCACATGTTAGCAGTATCTGAATTCTTAGTAGAACAAGCTTTTGAGCTCATGGAAAGCCAGGTCTAAAAATCTTCTTAGAGATGACCTAATGAAACTCACTCTTGTGATAAAAAAGTAATAATAAGGCTGCTGGAAAATCAAGATAATAAATAAAACTTTCAAGATTTTGTACCTAGATTCTGGGGACCCCAAGGTACTTTTGAAATTTTCTGACTTTCTAAACAGGCTAGTAATTTGCTCTGTCTTTAGCACTTGATTTAGAGATCGAGGAGAATATAGTGGAGGTAGATATAGGGGAAAAAAAAAAGAACAATAGCAACAATGTTGTCTGCAGGGCTTAGTACTGATCACTGTCACATCTGCCTGAAGTGGCTCAGTAATCAACATGTAAACTTTACAGATAAGGAAAATGACACCCATGTTAGGTCACTATCCTATGGTGAGACAGAGGGAAAAAAAAAGTTAGAATCCTAAAAGATATGCATAATTTTTTTTCCTTAATAGGCAGGGAAAGAAAGTTGAAAAGCATACCTAAAAGGAACAGATATTTTCGTAGTAATACCTCTCCTATGATTTATTCATTCAATTAATAGCCACTGAGCACTTCCCATGTGCCAAATAATAAAAGTAAACACACAATTATTCTGGAAGGCAGAAGAATTTCTCATGGAATTGTGTTTATTTGGTTTTGTTTGGATTTGGAGGGGCAGTTACTAACTGTGTAAGGATCAAATAAAAACCAAGTTCTTCGTCATTTGGTTTGAGTGCTGAAACATTTCCCACTGTTAGAGTGTCATCAATCAGTTGATTTTGGAAAATATGGTTTTTTAAAAAATTTGTTGCCATGCAAATGTAGCTAAAGCTACGCCTTACTCCCTAATCCCATGTGTGCTGGATTTAATAGCTGAACATGATGTACTTAAAAATCAGGAAACACATTTTTTTACCAAGGCTATCATCAAGTGTACATTGGATTAGGCTGGACTGGCCACAAGGGCAGAAGCCATCCTGGTTCTCCTGTGAGCCATAACCCAGCCCCAGTCCAGTGCCTGGCCCTGCATTAGTCACGTCTCTGAGGGTGGGGATCCAAGAATAAAGGTGGAAAGGACAGCACCATGGTGGCCCCGACCCCTTGGGCTCTCCCATCATACGCAGCTGACCTTATATCTTAGTTATTTTTCTCATTGCTGAAACAAAATACCCAAGCCAAAGTTAAAGGAGGAAAGGTTTATTTTGGCTCACAGTTTGTAGCGGTTTCAGTCTATAACCAGTGGGCTCCAAGGCAGGGTGGCAGGGCAGCGGGGCATCGCAGAGCAGAAGACAAGTGGTAGTGGTGGCAGTGGCAGCAGCAATAAACAACAAGTGACAAGCAGTGAGCACAGCAGCTTTCTGTCCCTTAAATCTTATGCATGCTACCCTCATGGTGGGTGGCGCTGACAGCCTTAGTCCTAGCACCAGAGAATCAACCCCAACACCGCATCCTTGATCCTGGCTAGATCTGGCCTCCTCCAAAAAGCCCCATCTATGACTGCATGAGGCATTGGAGGGACATCTAGATGTAAATGGTAATATCTTATGATGCTTTGCCAATTGGCGTACGAGGTTCTGAGGTGAGAAGTATTATTGTTAGTCTGTAGATGGCTGCTCTCTTTGGAATAACTGTCAATTGTACAGTTTTCTATTCACTTGCAGTTTAGAGCAGGACATTTAACTTTGAGTGAGTTTTAGAGTTATCTCCCAGAGGGTTTGCATTTTAAACAGTCTCCGTTGATCTCCGAGGAATGTGTTACCCAAATGTGTTTCTGTGTCATCTGACTGAGGGACCCAACTGCAGTAGCTCCTCAAGTGTCACTGGGGAAGCAGAAAGTGGTGATGTTATGCGGGACTGTTCAAGCCTTCACTTTTCAACTTGTGAGTCCTGAACAAAAGTCGTGTTGCTATCGATTCTGTTGAGCTCATGCATTCTGGAGGAGACTAAAGTTCTAATTCTTATTTTGTGTTGAGGTTCTTCTACTTGGAAACTTTAGTATGCCCATCTTCATTGATTCATGCATTTGGCAACTAATATGGAAGCCCAGCTATGTGCCAGGTAGGCACCCAGGATCTCTGCCATCCTGTCAAAATAGTGCACGTGAGCATGATGTAGTATGGTGAGCAGTATCTGAGGTACCACGTGGTGCCACAGGAACACCCAGGAGAGGTGTCCTGGAGGAAGTGACATCAAACAAGTTGTGAGAGATGAGTAGGAACGGCCTCGCTAGAGGAAGTGGGAACCACAGAGCAGAGTTCCTGGCTGGAGAAGCAACTTGGACGAAGGCCTTAGGGGAAGGCAGTGGGGTATTTAGAAGCAGAGCACAGATAGGTGAGCTGAAAGTCAGGATAGTAGTGCCCAGGCCATGCTGCTGGCTAGGAAAGCAGAGCAGAAGGCCAGAAGTAGTGGGGAGGGGGAAAGTGTTGAGAAGGAAGGGGTGTGATCAAATTGATGTTCTCAGTAGCTTCCGCAAATTTCAGTGTGGCCAAGGGATTGGAAGAGGCCAATGCCTTGAAGCAGGGAGAGACCTCTCACGAACCATAGAGTGACTCTGTAATGGCTAGGGATGTAGACCAGAGAGAAATGCCCATCCTGACCTCTGCCAGACTTTGTAGTGGCACCATTTCAGTCACAGAACTCGTTTAGAAGTAGGCAGAAAGAGCATAGATGCATAGCAAATTCACACGAATTTGCTCCTCCAGCAGAGACCTTTTTCACTGTTTTCAGAAAGCCAAAATAGTACATGGTGAGTGAGCTTGACTGAAACGATAAATGAAAAAGTAAAACAAAGAAAATCATCTCTCTGTTCTGGCACCTTTAGAACCAGATAGGCTGAGGACAAGACTCTTGACATCCACATTAGAGACTTTTAGGAAGTATCTGTGTCAGGAAATAGACACACAAAATGAGGGCTTGATCCTAGCCTTGGAGCAGGACTCTGTGCCCCTTGTCAAGGAGGAGAATACCTGGGGAGTGGCCGCTTAGAGCTGTTTCCCCTCAAAACCAAATAATAGGCCCGGGGAGCAGGTTTCCGTGGGCAGTGTTGGGCACTGTGCAGTGGGAGCCTCCTCCTGACAGCGCGGTTCACTCCAGGACCAGGAGGTGTTTTATGAGCAAAGTTACAATGTGTGATATATGTGCCCTTTGCAGGGAGAGTAGAAGGGTGTAATTTAAAAATAGAAGCAGCTTCTTGAAGCAGATTACATCAGCTGAAGTTGTGAGGATACAACACAGCTTTTGCAGCCTGGTGCCCTTGAGATAGTCCTCCTGTGGTCAATTAAGTGTCTTGTTTTTCTGGAAAGTCAGAAATGGGACGAAGGTAATTATTCTTAATGGAATAAAAGCTGTGTTAGGTGTAAGAAAATAGTTCTGAATCCTCCAAAGAGATAGTATGGAAATGTGTACGTAGGCATTTGTAGGAGTCAGTCTTCCTAGATGAGGTCAGGGAGGACCAGTGTTTTAATGAGGACTATTTATTAAATGGCTTCATGAAATCATACAGCATTTGTCTAGTGTTTTAGCACCATAGTTCAAAAGGATATCTAACAGTGTTATAATAAATATGAGTAATAATGTGCTTATATTCACAGGTTTATATTTATTTTAAATTGTTAGGTTTTGGAGACCTATTAAGCCAGTAGACCTATCGTCAAAGGATGTATTCCAGTGAGAAGGTTTATTAACAAATGTTAGCATCTCACTAGATAGGACCTTGTTAGGGCCATTAGTCAGTGGTGTCCTTATGTCCCAGTCGGGAAGGTTTGGGTCTGCAGAGTTTGGTCAAGGACTGCTAAACAGCACTGTTGATACTAGAGAGATTTTTCCTGTGAACAAAGACTTGAGTTAATTAATTTGACAGTTTCA